ACGCATTTATCCGTTCCCTTTGGTTTCTGCCAATGATTATCTCACCAACTATTCACTCTTCCCCCACTTTTTTCCCTTTTCATTTACATCCACATGGCCATTACTGGGGTTTAAACTCAGGACCTCATATTTGCTCAGCCTGCTTGCTTGACTGGTACTCTACCACTTGAGCCATGCCTATGACTGGCTTTTTGCCAGTTATTTTGGAGATGGAATCTCGAAGACTTTTCTGCCAGTTGGCCTTTGAACCACAATCCTCTGGATGTTGGCCTCCCGTAGGGGAGGATTACAGCTACCAGTGCCCAACTTTGCTGGTTATTTTTTTGAGACAAGATCACACTTCTTGTTCAGGCATATATCTAGACTTTGATCTGCCTATGGTAGACTTCCTGTCATTGCTGGGATGACAGGCATACCCACCACATCCAGCTTCCTCTGTTGCGAAGTCTCTTGGACTTTTTTGTCCAGACTGGCCTGGAACTGCTCCTCCCATTCTCAGCCTCTCATGCGGCGAAGAGTACATGTGTGAGCCACTAGCACCCAGCTTTTATCCATATAGTTTTTAAAAATCAATAGTAGTGCCTGGCACAGGTGGTTCACACCTGTAATCCTAGCTACTCAGGAAGCTGAGATTGAGGATTATGGTTCAAAGCCAATTGACTCCCCTCCCTCCCCCACGGCCGGCCAGTTCTCTACCAGCTTGCTGCAGGAAGCTCCTATACCTCAAGCAAAGTTGGTTACATAACATCTTCCAGAAACTGAATTAAGTTCCTTTTCGTTCCTATACTTTATGCCAATGTGGTCCTTACTGACACCAGCCTGATTTGGAAGTGCCTACACTTTCCTTGGGTTCCCCGGGCACTGTCCAAGGACTGGTGCGGCCCAGGCTTAGTTGAAGTCAAAAGGGTTCCATTGGAACGCTCCTTCCGGGTCCACACACTTGACTTCAGGCCAGGGCCAGGCCGTCTGAATCTCAGCATTCCAGTTGCACCCCCCACCCCCACCCGAGGCTTCTGCAATTTTTTATTCATACAAACAAAAATAAATCTCACTACCGGCCTCTGAACTCCACAGCAGCATGCTTCCCCTTCTCCCCAAGCATCCCATGGCTGTGAGCGGGGACTTGGCACTCTCCCCACCAGCATCACTTTTTCACTCCCTGCGCATCCTGTGTCCTTCTCTCACCGTGCGACCCAGAGATCAGAATGGGACGTGACGGCCGGCACAGGCGCCGTGCACAGCTGCCAGGAATCTGACGGGTAAAATCTGGAAAAGTTGGGAGGGCAAATGCTAAACACACACAGCGCCACTCAGAAAGGGCCGGAAACACAGACACCCATAGAAGAGTGCCTGCGGACTCCCAGCCCTTCTTGAGCTGCCATTCTTTTTAAGGGGATTAAGCCAGTTTTGCAATCTAGGTATAACCCCCTTAAGGCCCACTGGTACCCTGGGAGAAGAGGCTGCAGCCTTGTCTAATCTCCTGAGATTCCACCAGGGCATGTGGGGAACAGGAAGCAGTTGTGTAGTGACTCACTGGGCAGAACCAGGTTAAGGGAAGTTGTCTGCAGGCGTCCCTGGGACCGGATGAGGGCAGCTCGGCTTTGACCACCCGCACACAGCTTGGCCCTGGCCCCACCCCCAGGGAGCTGGCTGCCACCTCCCTAAGAGGTTGTAGCTAGTTCACCTTTCTAGCCACAAGCCAGAGTTCTAGGAACCCAGGGAAATTACAGCTTCCCTGGCCCCACAGGTTTTGCCTCTGCCCTGTCACCAGAACACCAGGTGTGCTAACCGCCTTTAGCCTCCTGTAGCTACCTGGCTTAAAGGGCGTCCTGCCTACTGACAGCATAAATGTAGGATGAGTCAAGGTCTAAGGAGGTAATTAATGGTTTACACAGAGAGAAAATGGTAGCCAGCAATCTACTTGATGGAGTCAAGTGAGGACTGTAGGGTGATTTCTTTCTTTCTTTCTTTCTTTTTTGTCAGTCCTGGGGCCTGAACTCTGGGCCTGGGCGCTGTCCTTGACCTTCTTTTTGCTCAGGGTTGCGCTCTACCACTTGAGCCACAGCTCCTCTTCCAGCTTTTTTTTTTTTTTTTAATAGTTTTGTCTCACAGACTTTCCTGCTTGGGCTAGTTTCAAAACATGATCCTCATATCTCAGCCTCCTGAGTAGCTAGAATTACAAGAATAAGCCACCAGTCCCTGGCTCAAGTAGGGTCATTTCTCATAGCAAGTGTGAGAGAAGTGGCAGAGGTACTGCTTAGGTCCTGGGCCCATGTTACTACAGGTGCCACTGGCCCCCATCTCCCCCAAGCCATATGGCAGTGTTTTTGTTCTAGGGTTGAAGGTACTAGGAAAAGCATTCCTGACAGTGGAAGAGCTACATGAAGAAAGAGAAGCCTGGGTAAAGGAAGAACAGGAATGCCGATGCTCCTCTGCATGAGGGAGAAGGGCAGAATCTTGTTTATTGAACCTGCTCTTAAGAAATGCTCAGGCCAAGAGTGGTAGAGTGTGTCACTCTCCCGTTGGCAGCCCTCTGGGAAGGAGCAGTGACCAGGATCCCTAGGAAGATGGCTGGCGGTAGGGGTATTTTCCCCTATTGAAGTGAGATCGGTAGGAAGACTTCAGCAGACTGGGCCTCTCAGCCACATTTCTCATGCTGCCAGCGTCCTGTGGCCTGTGCCTTTACCAGATGTGGTGGCAGTGGCAGCAGCAACTTACTCATAGGGAAAGGTCCCTGGCAGGTCACAGAGAAGCCACCCCCATCATTTAAAGGCATGCCCTTTCAGTTTTACTGTTACTCTTAGTGAATCCTCCTCACTGACTGTTGGTGGCCAGGCCCAACACTGTAGGCCCCATCCCAGCTGGCACGCACCTACTTTCCCCCGGCCCAATGCCTGTGTCTACGTCTCTGCAGTTGCAGGAAGAGGCTCTGAATGGGTGTGACGGGGCCTAAAACTGCTCCCCTGTCCTGTAAGATTTCTGTTGGTACCCAACAACCTGTATGCTGTCTGGCACAGATGACAACAAATCAGTTCACTTCTTGGCCCTGCCCCCCCCCCAAAGGAAACAGCACAGTAATGACTGTGTTCTACTGTGACAGGTATATCCAGGCCTGTCTTCACAAGCCACAGTCACGCATGGCAAACTGACAGGCTTGGGAATATTGAACTTTGACTTATGTGCATGAAAGTCTTTGGGATAGACAAGCCCTGGGCCAATGGGCTTCTGAGACGTAAAAGTTGTGCGCACACCTGCGCTATCATGTGAGATGGATGGTGATTTGGGTGGATACTGAATTTTTATTATGGTGATTTAGCTTATACTAGGAAGACATGACTAGCTATCATCAAATCCTTGAAACCCAGGATAGCAGATCTGAAGAAGAACCTAAGGAGAAAGTCCATCTGGTGCTATGGCTCATGTGGTAGAGCACTTGCCTTGAGCTGAAGAACTCAGAGACAGTACCCAAGCCCAGAGTTCAAGCCCTATAACCAACAACAACAAAAAGAAAACATGAGCCTAGTGCTGGTGGCTCACACCTAGTGTAATCCCAGCTACTCTGGAGGCTGAAATCTGAGGATCACTGTTCAAAGCCAGCCCAGGCAGAAAAGTCCGTGAAACTCTTATCTCCAATAAACCACCAGCAAACCTGAAGTGGCACTATGGCTCAAGCAGTAGAGCGCTTGCCTTGAGCTGAAGAGCTGAGGGACAGCGCCCAGGCCCAGAGTTCAAGCTCCACGACCAATAGTAAAACAACAAAAAAGCTCAGGGAGCCGGGCGCTGGTGGCTCACGCCTGTAATCCTAGCTACTCAGGAGGCTGAGATCTGAGGATCTCGGTTCAAAGCCAGCCCAGGCAGGAGAGACCGTGAGACTCCTATCTCCAATAAACCACCAGAAAACCGGAAGTGGCGCTGTAGCTCAAGTGGTAGAGTGCTCGCCTTGAGCTGAAGA